TTTTTTTTTTTTGCAAATTTGCAGATAATACGTCGATTTCGTATTTTAATCTGGTTTATTGTTCATTTTTTCTTTCTCTGGTTTAGTAAGTGTGATTTATTTGGCATAATACTTCATCATTTGGAACCGTTTCAACAATTTTGTATGCCCATGCGAATGGGCATAGTTTTTTTTCCTTTTTTTTTACCGCAGTTCTTTTGCTGTGTTTGATACTCACTTATGTAAATAATCAGATGGAGTTGCCTTGGCTGCTTTTTTTAAAAGGATTTTTGAATATAATTATGATTTTCAAACCATCTTTTGAATCTGATCCTTAAAATGAAATCAAATATCAAAACTAGCTGTAATTTCGCTGGGCTTTATGGGATGAAGTAAATCAGGTTGCGAGCCTTTATAAGGAGAATTAATTCGAAGGAAGGGGGCGAGAAGTCCTTGATTTTGAAATTAAGGTGTTGGTTGGAGTCAAGCCTGTGCATCTCCAATGCTTTGAATTTTTTTCTTTCGAAAATTTGTTTTGGAGCATATTCATTGTTTTGAAGATGTCTTCCAGTTTTGAACAGTCACTTTGTTATATATAGCGACCAGCAGCCGGGTTTTTCCAGTCGTTTTCATCATATGTTCAATATTTCTCCATTTTAAGGATTTTCAAAGACACTGCTTTAATATTTTGTGCTTTTTGTTCCATTAATATATGTGTAGCTTTCCCTGTTTAGCTCTTAAGCAGCTAATTTTTTCCATTCATTTTTTCCTTCTTTGAACTACCGATGCATGAGCATAATCTCTTACTTCCAAACCGTTGTGTACGCATGTTTTGCACTACCGAGCTTTACCTGTTTCATTTTTTCCAACTTTTATTTTCCTTCTTTCTCTCTGTTACCAGTGTGTCTTTTATTCACTTCGTCTGTATTTTCCATTCCACAATAGCATTTTTATTTGTTTTCTTTGATTGGTGTAAACCATCTCTTATGCACATAATTGTTCTCAAATTCATCTATGTTTTCAGACTTTAAATTGAATTGATTTTATCAATTC